AAGGAATGATGAATCATTCATTTCTTATAAGTCCAACCAAACATCAAATTAGAATTTCATTCCATTCTATTCCATTCCTTTCCACCGAACCAAACACACCAAACTGGCAAGATTGTTCACGAACAATTTTAATCGAAGTTTTTAATTAAATGTCGAACCACTATTAAATTAGGTGGATCAATTAATCGGCCGATGAAATCAGTGTTGATGTAACAATGTTTTGTCACTCGGTTTTTATTAAAAAAAAAACAGAAAAAAGAGAAAAAAAAAAGAAAAACGTTTTGTTAGTCGATTTATTGGTTTATTTGAACAAGTTTGGTATATGGATTGTGTTTTTATCTCTTTGTATTTTTACTTGAAATTTCATTACTTTTCGAATTACATGGTATTAAGTTCAACCAACTATGCTTCCAAATAAAGATTCGTGTTCCTTCTCTCTCTCTCTCTCTCTCTTCAAAAGCTTGATAGTGCTATTATTTGGATGGATGATAAGATTTTTTTTTTGCTACTAATTCAAATGAATTTATTTTGTAATTGGACAATATCCTTTAAGTGAGCATGGGTATTATACCTTTTTTTTTCCTTTTCTTATTTTGATATTTTGAAATTGATGGAATATTATGTATGGGGTCGCCAAGTTCTATATAGTGTTTGCGTTCAAAACTTTTTCTTTTTTATTTAAAATTACTGTATTCAATAATTTAATTATGAAAACTTGACGGAATAAGATGTTTTTTAAGCACGTAGGCATTGCTAAAGGTGAAGTATTAAAGAGTGACCTTTTTTCTTAAAAGGAAGAGTGACCAATTTTATGTTGGACTAATATCTTATAATTTTTATTTTTATTTTTTTGGAAAAAATATCATGATTTTAATCAATAAGAACACTTTTTCAAATGTCATTAATATATTTGTCGGGCTCACTCCCTAACTTAAAGTAATATATGGGCCGAATGAAGACAAACGGGCCTTATGTTTTTGCCGGGCCCCCTTTGACAATGTGCCCAACTTGATAGGGGTTTATTTTGAGAAAATTGCTAAACTTAAAATACACAAGTCTAAATTTTTATTTTTTTATTATTGATTAATACATTTTTAATTAATATAATTATTTAATTAAAAATGTATTAATTAATAGTAAGGAGTAAAAATTTAGAGTCATACATTTTAAGCAATATTTGTCTCTTTTTTCAAAAAATGAGACAAATACTGCTTAAATTATATGGGTCTAAATTTTTACTCCTTACTCTTAATTAATATCTTTTTTAGTCAAATAACTATATTAGTTAAAAAAAAATATTAACAAAAAAGATTATTTGTCTCTTTTTTCAAAAAATGAGACAAATACTGCTTAAATTATATGGGTCTAAATTTTTACTCACTCTTAATTAATATCTTTTTTAATCAAATAACTATATTAGTTAAAAAAAAATATTAACAAAAAAGAAGAGGTAAAATTTCATACTCATATAAGTTCAATAATTTTTTCTTTATTTTGGAGAAAATTATTAACTTACTCTTATAGTACATGAGTCTGAATTTTTACTCTTGTTCTTTATTAATAACCTCTTGATTAGTATAGTTATTTGACTAAAGAGGAAATTAATCAAAACTCAGAGATAAAATTCAAAATTATACACTATAAAGAATGTTTGTCTTATTTTTATGATCTTCCCATTAATGCTTCTGAGCTTTGGATTGTTTCTGCTTTACCCTCTTTTCAAGTTTCCACTGTATTATTCTAAATTTTACTTCTGCAACACTTTTCCCTTCGTCTTATTTTCCATTCGTCTCATTTTCCATCAAAAGAAGACGAAAGAAGACCACATGCCCTCGTGTGGGGTTGTTGAAAATAGTAGTTGTCTTCCTGCTCCTGATATGGAGAGAAATGCTAGATCGTAGTTCTCCATTTTTGTATTCTCTCATCTGATTCGAATTTAGGCGTCCAATCACAACCCAAGATGCTAAAAAGTTATGGACTCAAAGAAGATGACTTGGGGGATGTTTGTTTCCCAGTATTTTTCTCTCATAAAAAATACACGTAAAATGAGAATAATTTTGAATCATAGTTTTAAATCCATGAATTAAACGTCCACTTGAAGTATGCCGGATTCATACTATAGCAGCTCTACTTCGATAAAATATTTAGGGCTTGTTTTTTTTTTTTTTTTTTCACAAATTCAAGTGAAAACTCAAGTTCTATTGTTATAATATTTTTTCTCATACTATTTGAGTTTGTGTTTGGGTGAGTCAAAACTTGAATTTGTTTTTAAATAATATTTTAATAAAAACTCAATGGTGATGAAAAATTTTAATAGGGTATATAGGTAGGGTTTTATTCGTCTCTTCGTTGTGAACGCATAGAAAAAAAATCATCTCAATCAGAATTAAAACGAAAAAAATTATGACATTTTTAAGAATATAAAAAAATACTGTTAATTAATTTGAGTTTGAGTCTATGAACTTGAGTTGAAGGAAAAACTTAAAACTTAAATTTTATAAAAGAACATGAACTTAAATAAAATTATAACTTAATTTAGATTTTTTTTAAGTTCGAGTACAAATGAATATTAGCTGTGACCCACTCTATAGTCTATTACTCGTTTATTCAGAGAAGCTACTTATGTTTGTACACATGGGGACCCATACTTAAATACGTTCAAAGTAGTAGCATTTTGCAAAAAAGGGAAAGGGAAACAAATTTTTACAAAATGCCTATTATGCAATTTCCACTACGCAGTTTGCAGGTCGAATCTTTGAATAAAAAGTTGTCTAGTTCTTAGTAGGATTTTTCAACAAAGAAACATCATGGGGGTTTATTTTATTTATTTTTTAAAGAAATTTTTATTGGGAGATTTTTTAATACGTATGGGGTACCAGTAGGTTAAGTTTTTTAACCGTTAAATCTGCATACTTTTTAATTTTTTACGTGATTTTATGTAAATTCGATGGATCATGGGGGTTTATTTTATAACAAGAAATATTATTTTACTCTTATTTGTTTTAATTATTAAATTAGTTTCTTAACGGTCTGATTTGAAAGTAAGAGTAGATATGTATTGCATAAGATAAATTTTTAATGTGGACATAAATAATAGATAGATTTGACTGTTAAAAAATAAATCCAACTATTAAAAAACAACGATTCATATATTGATAGAGTAAAAATTTTATTGTAAGATTTTTTTTTTTTTTTGAAAAAATATGACTTTCTTTTAATCAGTAACGTCGTGGGGTATTTGTAAAACTTATTTATTCGATTCTCCATATTCTGAGTTTGGGATAATAAATTCTACCATATCTTATTATTGGGTCCCTAAAATGGTCAGTTATAAAGAAAGACTTTATGGCCATGTGATGGAGATCCTCTTTGAATCCAATCAATTTATGGACCAAAAAGAAAAGGAAAAAGGATTCTCTTATGCACCAAACAAAAGAGACCCAGGAGGTGGGCAGATTGATTCAAGAAGGAAAAAGACACCTTGATTGCAGTCTTGTTTGTTTGGATTTGCAAAATTATTTATTTAAATTTTATGTTTTTTAATATTAAAATTAAAAATTTATGCCATACACAAATGTAATGGCATCATTCAGTTCAATAATTTGAATTTTTAATTTAAACTGAAATATGATTTTATCTGTAACAAAAAAATTAGATGTAACTTTTTATAAAAAATTTTAATTATAATAAAATTAGTGTGTTTAATTAATAATTTAAATCACAGTTCATAATTTATTATAATATTTTTTCTCATAAAATATATATATAAATTAAAAATAATTTTAAATTATAATTTTAAATTTACTAGATGTTAAAAATTTAAATCAGTGCAAGAAACGAAGGCGGCGATTTCCTGTAAAGTGAGTAAAACTCATGTTAGATTTAGATCATGTGCCTTTCTCCTCGTTGAGAAGGGTGTGACGTTGACATGTGGGATGGTGACAAGTGTCACAATGCCAACAGTTTTGTAAAGGCTAATTAAAAGTCACTTTTTGGTGGGGTCCATCAATACCTCCCTTGCTTTCTAATTTTTATAATATTATTAATTATATTATATTATATTAATATTTTAAGGGTACGGTGGGAATTGTACCTGCTCACGGCCTAGAGAATAATTTTGTGTTCCTTGAAACATGTGCCCTTCAATTATGCGACTCATATAACAAGAAATGACCACCTTTTTGGCTTAAAACGGAAATTACTCGTCAGAATTCAGAACCCATACAAATGGAAAACTCTATCGACGATACGAAAAACACTTTACCGATGAGATTCTATTTAAGCCGTTTGATTTCTATCGTACTGTATCACTTACGAGTGCATATTTACACGTTTAGAATCGTATATATACTATTGGTGTGTATTTCTATTATAAATAAATGAGACGTTTTTACACTATTTTTTAAAACTCATAATTTTTAACCGTTAAATTTATATTATTCATATTTTTTTAATTTAATATGATTTTAATTAAATTTAACAGTTAAAAAAACAAAAAATATCAGTGTTTTCATAAAGAAACATCAGAGAAACACCTTAAATAAATACTTGAAAAATTAACACATGTAATACCAATAATATATATTATTATTGTATCCTATGACAGAATTTTCCAATTAGAAGTGTATTTTGGTTTTCAGTTTCACGTTTTTAGGTCCCTAGTCTTTTGTTTCCTGAAGACAATTGTTTGGAATATGTTGGTCAATAAACTTATAACTTTTTGATTAATTTAAGGAACGTATGCGCAAGAATAGAGTTCCATTACATTACAAGGATAAAAGAAATAAAAGAAAAACAAAACTGGAGCAAAATTGTGACCAACATAATTTCCTAGCATCTTCACTAATTCTATCTCTAATCTACCATATGAAACAATTAACTAACTTAGGGATTTGAAATCACTTGTGGACGTTTGATTCATAGATTTAGAATTATGATTCAGAATCATTCTCGTTTATGTGTATTTTTTATGAGAGAAAAACACTGTAAAAAACTATGAATCATAATTCAGAATCATAGACGGATATAAAAACAAACGTCATAGAATCATGGACGAATATAAAAACAAACGTCGGCATTCGAGCGGGCTCTTTCAATGCACCCCCAACCTGGTATTTGGGTGTAATGGACAATCTGTTCAACGCGGAGTCGAAATTGTCACCGTCAGCTTCTTCATCGCTGCTACATTCTTTGCCATCGTCATAAGTAGGTTTGACCATTGACCAATATATGAAGTTTGGCCGGATGAATCTTCATATTTGCCCAAAGAAAAATGTTGTTATAGCAAATGCATTAAAAAATCAGCCTCAAAGATGATATTTTTAAAAGAAGGCAATGACTCATCAAATGAAAACTCGGACGTGAAGGATATAGGTGTTAGTCAATAATCACTTGAGTTTAGGGGTGTTCAAAAAATAACAGCCAAACTGCAAAAACCATCCAATCCAAATCAAACCGAACGAAATCGTTAACTTAAATTTTAGATTAGATTTGAGAACCACTTTTTGCATGTTTAAAACTCAAAAAATTTATTCTTTTGTTGCTAGAAAGAAAGGCTCTCTTGGGAACTCACTTTCTGCCATGTCTCACTGCTAGAGTTTTCATATGTACTATGGTATTTAAGTAAAAGTTTTTAATTCTAAAAGTAATCAACCCAAAGAAAAGATTATGAACCTGTCACGTTTCTTTAGCACACAAGGGTCAAACGGGAAGAACACGTCAAGCCTTTCCATCCCACCAAAAGCTCTTGAAAGTTTAGATACCAGGTTGTTAGGACTATTAGTTGGCAAATTTGTTGGTAAAAGGTTATAAATTCAAAAATAAAATCAGTAAAATTGTGAATTACTATGGAGGCTCCATTCTTAATAACTTGCACCGGATTTGGGATGATGATTTGGGATGATTTCTTCAATAAAAAGAAATAAGTTTATGGAGTTGATTTGGTTGACTTTTGATGGCTAATTGATGTGGTGTGTATGGAAAGAATCTGTGAAGAAAATGTGCACATATGGAAAAGTAATTTGCTACATAATTAATTTGAAAAGATTTAAAAAGATATCTTGGATATATTTGATTTGCAGTATAAATAATATTAATCTTGGTGTCAAAATAATATATGCTGCATGTGCTTTGTAAAATAAGTGCAAATCCGGATTGGTGTACTTTGGCTATATATTCATATGTGTGTACGTGAGGGTGTATGGCTTTGAAGAGAAAAAAGTGAGTTTTCGTCTTTTCTAGTTTTAAAAGCAATTCAAAGCCATATTATGAGACATATATTTTAGAGATATATTTTTTAGAAAAAGTCTGTGAGATTGTGCTTTTGAGTGTGAAAATATTATGGAGAAAGAGCTGTTTACTTTGAGAGAAAATAGAAAAAAGGTGGTTCTTCAGGAGGATGACGTATTATTTTTAAGAGAAAGTTTTCAAAGACGAGCGGTGCTCACTGGACAATGCCTCTAAGAAGATTCTACACATCGGCGACAACATCAAAAAGGGAGTCTTTGGGTGTATAAGTCCGATTGGTGTTTGTAATCCTTTGATCTTAGTGGATTGTTCACTGTCTGAGCGTGACCCCGCAGATGTAGGTGTGCACACCGAATTGCAATATCATTTTGTGGTGTTCTTTAGTTTTCTCATGCATTACTTTTTGTTTCTGCATGTTTTCAATTCACTGTCCATTGATCACCTCAGAATTTAATAGTTACTTATAAGTGTTGCTAAAAGTGTTGTAACACTCTTTGTAACACATGCGTGAAAATTAGACCTTACACAAATAATTGTCGAAATTAAATTTCTCGGATGTAGTGAATAAACCCGCTGTTTTTGCTTGTTGTAGAAACTCCTGTACTATAGAAGGCAGACAAACCTATAAAGAAAAGAAAAGAAAAGAAAAAAAAAAAAACAGAATTAGAGACCCTGATGTGGTAAAGCTTCAGATGGACTAACAACTTGGAATGGCATGAACAAACATTAGAAGGAAAAAGTACCAACAACATGCAAAAAAACATGCATTTCTTTTACAAGTTTATGACCATTCAAACGTGACCAAATTCTGTATGTTATAAATTGAATTTTTCAAAGCTATAAAAATGTATTTTCTAGTGATGCACCCGGAGCATTCTATCCTTATCCTATTATAGACGAAAGATGAATCAAGTACGCACTCGAACATGAGGGAATCCCGATGCTGAAATCGGCTTCTTACCTTCAAGGGGCTCAACTTATGAGACAAGATTATGATTTAGTTTTGTAGTGTTGTAGATTTTGTAAAAATTACTTTTAGTTGTATTGAAAGAAGAAGTAACTGTTACAAAAAACAGTTAAGTGTTTAGTAAATTATAATTATAATAGCTGTGTTGGTTCTAAAATCAGTGTAATAATGTTTGGTAAATTATGAATTTGAATTGCTGTGGATAATTAAAAATTACGATTATATTATATTATATTATATTATATTATATTATATAATTATAATATAAAGTATATTTATTATTATATTTAATATAAAATAATAAAACTATTATTAAATAACATATTATATAACTATGATATAAAATATAATAATATTATTAAAATAATAACTGAAATAATTAAAAATAACGATTATATTATATTATACTATAATATAATATATAAAATTAAAAAAAATATATATTTATTATTATATTTAATATAAAATAATAAAACTATTATTAAATAACATATTATATAACTATGATATAAAATATAATAATATTATTAAAATAATAACTGAAATAATTAAAAATAACGATTATATTATATTATACTATAATATAATATATAAAATTAAAAAAAATATATATTTATTATTATATTTAATATAAAATAATAAAACTATTATTAAATAACATATTATATAACTATGATATAAAATATAATAATATTATTAAAATAATAACTGAAATAATTAAAAATAACGATTATATTATATTATATTATATTACGAGTCTGAATTTTAAATTGTGAAGATTATAAATTATAAATTTTATTAGGGGTATTATGAGTATTATAAAAATTTCATTAATTATACTATGTTGATTTCTGCACAATCTAAAGTTAAAGTTGTCTTCAGACTGCTTCTGATTTTGACTGTAAATTCTTAAAAAAAATTTTAAAAAATACTTTTAAGTAGATTTATTAAACACTAAAATTAATTTTTACTACAGGCAGATGTTGATTTTGAGAGGAAAAAACAATACCAAGCTAAGCCTATATCTAATGGCAAAACCAAAAGCTGTGATTTAAGGCGCGGAACAGCCATCATTGACCTCATACGGAAACACAGCACGTGCATGATCGCCTGTACAAAAGTGGGCATCAGCAGACTGCGACATAAGTAGAGACAAAAACCAGATAATCAATGACACCATAAGATCACATAATGCAGCTGAATGTGAAACTGAATGATTCTTTTAGAGTGGATGAAGCCCAAAGAAGGAATACTACCATATTCAAATTTAACTCAGACAAAAACGGCCATTTTCCTCCTTCACGCGCCTTTCCATAATTAATTCATTCACAATTTTCTTAAAGAGTTGTTCCTCCTCCAGAAATTTCGACATCCGGAGTAGAAGATTCTGTGCACTTTCGGGTCTATTTCACCATCTCGCGGTTTGCAGTAAGTCAAACACCACTCCAATCTGACATTAGATTCACAGAACAAACAATGTCTAAAATAAATTCATTCCTACTTTCCTTTCACAATCCTACTTTTAGCAACAACCTTTGCAGAGAATCGGTGACCAATGAAGTTGACAAAAACTTGCCCCGAGACAAATAACTAGCTAGATAAGCAACTGCTCTCATCCTGCAATAAGCAAAATATAGATTAACTCGATATCAGAAACAGCAATGCATAGAGAGAAAGAGAACCAAATTGTACTTCCAAACCAAGGAGCATAAGCTTTAAATAAAGAATACCATGAAAACCAACGAAAATTGAAAAAGAAAAAAAAATTTACAAGCCTGACATATCAAAGCTTATTAGTAGAGAAGATTAGCCTCTGAACTTTTTCTGACCAGGATATGATTATTTCATAACCTCCAAGATAAAAGGCAGAAAATGAAGAAGAGACACAGAAAAGGGAGGCAAGGGATGTACTTTAACCCAAATAGTGCATCCATATAAAAATACAAAGAAATAAAAACACATAATCTATATACTGGGTCCGTTTAATTCGTTGATTCGAGTTTTTAATTCGAATTGAGATGTAAATTTATGTTAGAGCTTTTTACTGTAGCAAAAAAGTTAGATGTGACTGTTTCTAAGAGCTTTTTATTATAATAAAATTCGAATTTTAAACTCAAATCAATAAAATAAACAGGATAATGTTTGAATTCTATTTATTACTTGCTCATCCCAGCTTCTCCAACGCTTGTCACAATCGTCTGTACATGTCAAAAGACGGGCACGCTCAAATAAACCAGAACCATGTACTGTGAACCCAACAATGCATTCTTCACATAAAAATATTTTATTGCTCTAAATAAATTTTACACAAACACAAAATAGAAAAAGAAACAGAGGATCCTAGATTTTTGACAGGAAAAATACAGCAAGCAAAGCAATCTATGAAGGTTGTCCTGATGAAGGAAAAACCGATTGGTAATCACAAAGAGACTTTCAATAGAATTAATTACCTTAAAAGCGGGGGGTAGACATTAGAAACAAAAATATCGGTGAGCACTGTAGCAAATCTTGCGCCACAGTTTTTCAGGATCTAGAAAACAAGCGTAGAACATGACAAACTGCAATGAAAAAGACCCAAAACCTTATGTCAGCACGGGCATGGCTACAAAAAAAGTAATAGCATGTTTTAGAATATTAAAAATTGGGTGAATCTATGTTTGTAACCTGGGCAACTTTTCGACTTATATGCAGTCAGAACTGTCTTCTGAAATGATTGAAGTAGAGTTTCAAACGGCTGGCAACACATTGAAATACCATAATAATTGAGTACCAATCACAGACATAAGTGTAGACCAGACGTGCTATAAGAAAAAGAAGAGGCCAATTGGCCAAATACCCCCCACCCCAACGAAAAAAAGGGAGGAAAAAGGAAAAAAAAAAAAAAAAAAGAGGAAAAGATTAAAAGATACCTGAATTAATCGGCCACTAACTTCACAGGATTCAAGATGCTCAAATGTTAGTACCAACAAGCAATCCAACTTTTCTGCAAACTGATTTGCTCCTAAACTTTTTCGACTTGGTTCTCTAGGAAGCTGTATGATTTAAAATAACTTGCATGACTTTATAATGGCAGAGTAAAACCACAACAAACAATAAAGAAGAAGAGAAAAGGCGTATTAAAAATCTTTAAAACCAGAAAACGTAAACGTTTTTTTTTCTACTTTTGCGAATTCATCAGCAATTTCTGCTTTAGTGATACAATGGTAAGCAAATCCTTCAAAAACAGGCCATATGGTGATATAAAACGTAGACTTCTTAGAAAGAACTAAATATTACCCAAGCGAGATCGTCAAAATCTACACCTCCCCACCATCTTCAAACTCATCATCCGTAGCCTCTTCGATAAGCTCTAGCTCCATCTTAAATATGCCCCTAGTAGAGTCATCTTGTAGAATATCATCCCACCCAATCTCCACCTGTAAGAATATGTAATTTCTTCATAAATAATGCCATGTCTAAATACTTTGTTACTAGATCATAGAGAAAAATTCCATCTTCTTACATCCAAATCTATCAGCAAATCCACCACCCCTGAAAGCAGTGTGCTTCTGACAAGTTCACCAAAAATGCCACCCTCTTTTCCACATATGTCACAAGAACCTATAAGAAAAATTGAATACTTGTCTAGTCAAAGTTAATTTGATGGAGAGATGCAAAAATTTCATGGCATAAAAGATTCTGGTAAATACCACTCTTCTTAAACCTTTTCCACAAACCATTAGTGGGCTAAACAAAGTCTAACATTCTAATGAACTCACTTTTTCTTGAGAACTGTAGTGTGGCTTTCTCTGAATCACAATCGGCAATAATCTCATGGGGGAAAGAGGTACCAAATCAGCTATATCTTTCAAAGCTGAATGAACACGAGATAGACCTTGTCCTTTTCTTGTAATACCACGTGGCTGATTCAGCGCAGCCATGAATGAATAAGGAGGCGTGAAATTGCATACCAGAATTTCTAAACATGAATCAATATATTTTCCATTTGAAGCAGCCTGCAATATGTTGAAGACGAAACGATATGAAGGACTTGCCAACGTAATTCTAAAACTCAACCAACCTAGCAGCAATGAGAGGAAAACAACGTACCAGCGAAATGATTAGTTCAAGCAATGTGTTATAACCCTTGAGTAGAACTCATCTCAAAAAATTAGTTTGTAAGAAAAGAGTGTCCAAATGGTTATAAACTAACATGTTAAGTCCATATTTTAACAATGTGAAACTCAACTAGGATCCTAACATATCACCACGCTTCTGACACCGACATCCACGGCGACCCACTCTAGATGGCCCACTCTGGCATTTCCAGGTTGCCCTTTCGCAACGTGAGCCTGAGGAGAGGCATACTCTCATACTAATTGTTATAACGATTGGGTAGAACTCATCCCCAAAAGTTAGTTCATAGGGAGAGAATGCCCAAATAATTATAAACTCATAGGCTAAATTCATACTTTAATAATATAAGACTCGACCAGGATCCTAACACAATACATCCCCAATATCTAAAGAACATTAGGTTTCAATAATTATAAACTCATAGGCTAAATTCATACTTTAATAATATAAGACTCAACCAGGATCCTAACACAATACATCCCCAATATCTAAAGAACATTAGGTTTCATATATATATATATATATATATATATTAAGAACCAAGCGAAACAAAAGGAAAAAGATAAAAAATTGCAAAAGAGGATCATCCAGTATCAACTAACCGAAGCAAGAAGCGACTCATGCAGGACATTATCTATATACATAACTGCACCAGAGAGTGCCTTCAAACTTGTCTGCCAAACATAAACAAAAGACAAATTTAAATATGGCACAAGGGACTATTAAGTAAAAAGTGAAAATCTGGACTAGTTAGGTCTGATTATTGATTGAACCATCAATGGAAAACTCACCACAAGAAGGGCAACCTCATCAGGTGAAAGAGAGATCCTGTGGTGCAAAACAGCTACAATCTGATTATATCCATCAGTCTCACCCTGCACCAACAGAATTCAGTCCCATCACTTTAAAAAAAAAAAATTTACATCCCTTAGAGTTTTAAAAAAATATATATCACCATCCAACTGTTACTTCAGGACATGAAAAAAAAATGGAAATCTCATACTAATCCATTAGTGTAGTTTGAAATTAAGGCTGTGTTTGGCTAGAGAGAGAAAATAGGAAGGAAAGAAAAAGTATATAATCTAGGAAAGAAAAATGCAGAGTAAAGGAGGACCTTTCACTTATGGCATTCAGTAAGGATTCTCTCCTCTAATCCGTCCATATCAGAACAGATTAAAATCGGATTCTTTGAAGAATTTCCCTCACCTAATCCATTACCTCCTCTTTTCAATCCTACCAATTACCAAACAAGTGAACAACCAATCCCAAAACCCTTGTACTAATCTCCTCCTCCCACTTTTCCCTCCTACCAAACAAGTTTTAAGCCTAATTACTTTCATCATGATATCCGGATCACCCAGCTCAAAGTATCAAACTTTCGTAGTTGAAAAATGTTAAAATATAAAATAAAACATGCGCATTAAAAGCTTGCCGTTGGGACTGAAGTAAGAACATCCCTGACATGATATACCAAGTCTTCACTCAAATCAACATCATTCATATCATGAAATTCTTCTTCGTTGCATCATTCGAAAACGATTGTGAATGAGTAAGTGAACGTTATTTTACAAATTTAAAATTATGATTTAAAATTATTCTCAATATATTTTTTTTATAAAAAAACACTGTAATGAATCTCATGATATGAATCTTTATATCAAACACACTCTAAATTCAATGAGTTTAGCTATACAAAAAAAAACTTTCTACTTAACATCTCAAACTATAAAGTGAGACTATATTAAAAATAACTTGATAGTATTAAGTTAATAAACGTTTGATTCATAAATTAAAAATATGATTCATAATATTTTAAAATTTAAATTTTTTATAAAAAAAAAATATTATAAAAAACCAACAACTATAATTTAAGTAGGAATTTTTAAAATAAACATCCCTCATTAAGCTTTTCTTTTTCAGAGTAAAAGAAAAAGCTATATTATAGTAAAAATTACGTCAACTCTTATCAGTGAAAGTACAAAACTTAAAAAAAAAAAAAAAAAAAAAGGAACCTCACTTCCTAAAATCTGTTGACCGCAACGAAAAGCTATCAAAGTAATCACTATCATCAAATATTAAAAATAAAAAAAAAAGACCAGGAAAAAGAAAACGGCAAAAAACGTCAGGTCAGCTTTATCAGGGGAGGGACGGAACAGCTGTGGGAGCCAGCCACTTTCTAAAGTTTAATTCATTAATTTAAATTTTAAATTTTATTATAATAAAAAATTTTCAAAAATAATTAAATTTAATTTTTAATATAAATTTTTTTTTACATAAAATTACATCTTAATTTAAATTAAAAATTTAAATTAACAAATTAAACAGACTCAAGATCCTCTTACTCGAATTAAAAACTCGAATCAGTGAATTAAACGGGTCTAAAGTCTTTTGATGCCAAGAAAAGATTAAGGGGACGTTTATTTTTTGTATTCGTTACTGATTCTAAATCACGATTCATGATTCTCTACAATATTTTTCTCTCATAAAAAATACACGTAAAATGAGAATAGTTTTGAATTATGATTTTAAATCTATGAACCAAACGTTCACTAAAGGCTTGTTCTTTTAGAGTTTAACTTGAGTATAATTCTTGAGTTGAATTTGAGTTATAACTTGAGTTGAACTTGTAACTTGAGTTTGTGTTTGGTTGTTACATTTAAGTTATGGTTTGAGATAAGAATCTTTTTGAGTTTGTGTTTAAGTGAGTCAAAACTTGAATTGTATTTAGATAGTATTTTAATAAAAACTCAATGTTGATGAAAAATTTTAATAGGGTATATGGGTCGGGTTTTATTCGTCTTTTCGTTGTCAACACATAGAAAAAAAATCATCTCAATCAGAATTAAAACGAAAAAGTTATAGCATTTTTAAGAATAGAAAAAATACTGTTCATTAATTTGAGTTCGAGTTTCTGAACTTGAGTTAAAGGGGAAACTTGAACTCGAGTTTTAGTCCTAAATTCGAGTTTGAACTCAAGTTTAAACTCGAGTTTAAACTTAAAAAAACATAAACTCGAATAAAGTTGTAACTCGAGTTACATCCCCGTTCACTTCGCTGATTTGAGTTTAGAATTCGAGTTTTTCTACAGTAAAAAGCTCTCACAAACAATCACATATAACTTTTTCTCTTTCTTTTTGCCCGAGAAACAAACAGAAGGGGAAAAGCGAGGGTGTGTTGGTTCTTCCGGGGAGTCCTAATGTGTCGGCCGTCGGCGGCTACTACCGATTGGGAGTGTGAGAGTTCATTTTTTTGGTTAATTGTGGAAGAACCCCCAACACTTTTCCTATTTATTCATTGGGTTCCATCTATTTTTTATTCTATTTCAACTTTGATCCCTTTCCGTGGCGGGAAACTAACCTAATTATTGGCATTCTTTTTTTTTTTTTGGATAATTAGTTTTTTCTTTTTGCTCAACTTTTATTAGTTTGCCTGTTATTTGTTACCCAAACCATTTTCCTAATGAATTGTACACTTTTAATGAATTGATAAAAGGCCTCATTTATAATTTTATGTTATATATTGAATTTATAAAATAATATATATATGTACTTTTAGTATTTTTAAAATTAAAATATATGTTAAACTTGTACTTCTTAGTTAATAATTGATTTTTTGGGGGCCAGTTAATATCCCTTAAATTTAGCAGTAAAACGACATGTTCTTTCTATTGGTAGTTTTTGCTAGTCCTTTCTATTGGTAATTTATAAGCCGGCAACGAAATATCATTCCGGTCTAGAGCTTTTAAGTTTGGTCCAAGTTAAACGGGTCAGTTTTAAACCCATTACTATTGATCTGCAGACGCAACCCTAATCCTTAGGTTGGGATGGGCCAATACCTTAGGCCTTAAACTATTTTTGGGCTGGCCCGGTCTTAAACCAGTAAGGCTTTAGGACTAGATTGGATTAGGCTGGATCTACCTTTTCATTTTTAAGGTCAATCGGGTCGGCCTGAATATTCCTTTAGGCTACAGGGCCTTAGTCTTTCCGGGTCGGGTGACCCAAACTTTTAACTCTATTTTGGTCTAGTGTTTCCAGTTGTTTGAGAATAACTCCATGTTGTGTACTGTAAACGACATGTAGTTTGTACTTTGGATTTTGTTGTTCTCTATGTTAACCCCACGTCGTGTTGTACATAGAATCAACTTAGCGACATATCAATTTCCTTTCAATTTCAAACGCTAAACGACACGTCGTATTTACGTTGCAATTTTCTTGTCAATGACTCAATTGTCATTTTGAAAACAAAAGACGACATCTTTATATGAAAAGACAATTCGTTTTAAGATGAACATTTCTTTTGATCATTTAAAACACAACACGTATATTGTTACAAATACTTCTTTTCTTTTGGATAGATAATCACAATGCCTTTTCGCTAAGCAGGCATTGCTGCTAATCATTGTGAAACATATAAAAAGAAATAAATAAATTAATAGAAAAAGAAAAAAAAACAAGAGAGAATTAGTAAAACCATTTGACTTGAAATTTTTGTTAATACAACTCTTCCTCGGGAGGATTTTTTATATCCACAAATTAATAACCAATATTGTATGTTTTTAAGTGATTCTCCTTTGTTTACTCCCTGTAAATGGTAACAAAATTCTACTATATATGGACAAGTACTAGATAAAGAAAAAAAAAAAAGATAAGGAGATGTAAAATACAGATAAATTAATCTGGATATATCAAATTTCAAGGTGTTTACTAATTAATTGCTATTCTTGATCAAAATACGCCTGGATAAGGGGAGTAATGTTACTATATATAGTCAAGTTCAGTGAGTTCTAATTCATGTTCATCTATACATATATAGATATATATATATATATATATATATATATTTATACACACACACCCTAATATGTGTTATAGCCAGCTCACCTTATAATATGCTAGTCTGTAAGGTTATTGCCTTGCCGACCATCCATTTTCTACGTTATTCACTCTGATCCTTAATTTCCTTTTCTCTGTCGTCCTCATCCCATTTCCTATATATGTGTATATATACATATATATATATATATATATATATATATTTGTGTTCACTTCCATGCATACATTTCTAAATTAACCGGCCGTTTGTACTCATCATTTTAGTTTTCTCCTCCTCATACACCTCTTCCTCTTTCTTGCCGTTGTTTTTCCCCTAATTCCCTATATACTACTCAAGAGAGGGTGTGTGGAAATTTTTGGTTAATTTAATAAAAGTAAGTTAGTTAAGGGCTATCAAATTAATCATGGCCGTAGGGGGATTTTCGGCGGCAGGAACCAGCGGCGGACGAGATTATGAGGCGAAGATCACGCCGGTTGTCATCATTTCTTGCCTAATGGCTGCAACCGGCGGTCTCATGTTCGGTTACGATATTGGCATTTCGGGTAATGTCCATTATTATCAAACTCGTTTCATAATAATCAAATTGTTTTTAAAATTAAAGAATGTGAAAGAATTAGAAACTTACGAACTCTGACAAATTTTATAAATTCTCCCCTAATTTGGTCACTTGTGTCAACATATCCCATGAATTTTAAAATGTGTATGTTGTGCCTCTCAAACTTTATAACTTGTGTCAACATATCCCCTAAGGTTTACTATATTAAGTTTTTTTAACAGAAATGCTTATTAATGCCTCTTGAACTTTGTCACTTGTGTCAATATGCCCCATGAACTTTAAAATGTATCTGTTTTGCCACTCAAACTAGGATATGTCTCCAACTTTTTTC